TCAAATATAGACTTACTACTATTTTCATCTTCATCATTCTGAATGTTTGTAAGTATAAATGGACTTTCTGTAGCATATCAGCCCGAGAGTATCGTATAAAGTTTTGGATCTGAAGTAATATTGTTTAGTGCATTCTTGGTTTCGGTATTAAAGCGAGAGTCTATTCAACCATCAACAAGATGCCGTAATGCTTGTATTGTATTATATCGCTGGATAAAATCGAGTTCTATCACTTTACAGTTCATATGCGGGACTATTTCCTTGAATGTGCGATGAACCATTTCTTTAATTCCAACGGTGGTGTTTAAAACCGTAGCGAAATTACAAGCATGTTGTGGAAGATGGGTATTTACATGTAAATTGGGCAAATTTGTGAAGTTTTTTAGAAATAACTAATGAATAAAAATTGTAAAAATCATTAGTTTATAATATTAATATATATAAAATGAACGACAACAAATATACATTATTAAAGTTGATAAATTCTAATTGATTGTTAATCTTATTTATATAAGTACGTCACGTTCTCTGTTAAGAAATTCTTGAAATTCTTGATAAATATTTTCTGACATAGTATTTGAAAATGCAAGCTTTAATGCCTTAGCCTCGATTGCCCAACATATACATAATTTTGATGTAACTGAATTTTGTTTTATTCCAAGGTTCACACTCCAATTATTCAAAGCATCTGATTTTATGTGATGTGGTTTTAAAAAACGTCGAAGTATAAATGGCATTAGCATTGAAAGTTTTAACATGTCACAAAATATAAAACTTTGACGATGTTTTAAAGGATTTGGCATCCGACACCAGTGAGAAGGCTTTTCAATTCTTTTCCAAGACTTAATAAAATCAATTTCGCCAACTGCATTGAACACATTGAATGTTGCATCTAGTAGTGTGCGTACTTTTTCGGATATAGAATGATATGCATCTTGTGGGGTTTGGAGATGCCGATCCCATTTAAGCATGTCGTAAGCTTCTAGTTTCACGATACCATATTCAGTAGCCAGGCGATTCCTTTCTGACTTGGAATATTGACTTCTAATCTCTTCGATACGTTCTTCTGTTTGTTGGTTAAAGCGTGCATTTTT